AATTAAGATGTTATTTGTGACAAGTCTGATGATGTAAGATGTTATTTGTGGCAAGTATAATGTAAGATGTGTGTGACAGGTCTGATGTAAGATGTCATGTGTGACAGGTATAATTAAGATGTTATTTGTGACAAGTCTGATGATGTAAGATGTTATTTGTGGCAAGTATAATGTAAGATGTGTGTGACAGGTCTGATGTAAGATGTCATGTGTGACAGATATAATTAAGGTGCTATTTGTGACAAGTCTGATGATGTAAGATGTTATTTGTGGCAAGTATAATGTAAGATGTGTGTGACAGGTCTGATGTAAGATGTCATGTGTGACAGGTATAATTAAGATGTTATTTGTGACAAGTCTGATGATGTAAGATGTTATTTGTGACAAGTCTGATGGTGTAAGATGTTATTTGTGGCAAATATAATGTAATATTTGTGTGACAGGTATGGTGATGTAACATGTTATTTGTGACAGGTCTGATGATGTAAGATGTTATTTGTGGCAAGTATAATGTAATATTTGTGTGACAGGTATGGTGATGTAAGATGTTATTTGTGACAGGTATGGTGTAAGATGTCATGTTTGACAGGGATGATGTAAGATGTGTATAACAGATACGTTATTAAAATGTCACGTGTGACAGGTGTGATGTAAGATGTCATGTGTGACAGGTCTGATGATGTAAGATGTCGTGTGACAAATATGGTGTAAGATGTCATGTTTGACAGGTATGGTGTAAGATGTGTATAACAGATATGTTGTAAAAAGTCACGCGTGACTTGTATGATGCAAAATAACGCGTATGACAGCTTATATCTTATTTGCATATTCCCCAAATTACAATTATTCTGCTGGAAATACCAGGAAACATTTGTAGACATCTCATATCGTAAGTGTCATCAAAATGGAACTTGCAATCTAGATTGTTTTAACAAGCTCTTTCGGAAATCTTATAAACGAATGAAAAAAGATATTAGGCTTAGCTATGTTATTATAAGAAAAACATCATTTATTTCAAATGTTAGAAAATAAAGGCGTTTTGAAAAATTAATATTCTGTTACCGCAACTCTAATTTAACAGTTGGGATCGTTATTCCATTATGTTTGTGAAAATTATTAGGAAAAATTTTAATTTTGACTCAGAAAATATTTTTTCCCTAAGCCTTCTGACGCCATTTTATGGATATTTTCAACGCTGATGTAAGTTGCTTTGAATAGTAATCACAGATTAATACATAAATATATATATGTATATATATATAATTAAACATGAACTTCTTATCAAAAAAAAATATATATATAGAATAAATACTAGACCAAATTTATTTTCTTGATTCGGGATACGCAAAAAAAATAATAAAAAACAATAACAAGTTTTGGTGATCAA